TTTCATCATTTGTCCAATCAGGAAGTTACACGTCGATAGTCTGGAATGTTCTAAAAGATGATTGGATGGAATGTCTTCGGCTCTTTCCGAGCTTCTTAGAGCTTCCTTGAGTTCACTACAAGTCTTTTCGAACAATATTTCTAATGTTAAATTTTTTGTATTAATAATTGCTACTACATAATTACAATCACAGTATTTTCATCTCGTTGAGCTAAAGAAGTATGATAACTAGGTTTAACGCACACCTTTACTAGGCCCAATGTCTACGATGAAAACGTTAATAATAATGAGATTCAAGCATGAATTAGCTCCATACAGACATTATTTGATCAATCACTTAAAATTCGAAATCAAAAAACAGTATTTCAGTAGTTTTTTTATTTTCCTTGTAATTACCTGTAGACTGCTCTTACTAAACACACAGACATTTAAACCATTGAACTCAGTTGTAATAGAGAAAGTATTGGTAGGAACGTTTTTTGAATCAGATAGAGTAGTCCTTCTATATGTCTTAAAACTCAATAATTATCTGGCTGATCTCACCATGTGATGGAAACTATGTTAAAACATTTAATAAATTTATCATTTTACATTTTAAATTATTACTACCATTTATTTCAACACCATAAATATATGACTACTTAGATAAACTTACTAAATGCATTTATGTTCCAAATAAATAAAACCAACAACATGCATTTATAATTTAAGATCAAAAAAATCTAATGTAAAACAGTCCGAGCTTCTAATTATGGGGAACTATGGGGAAATTTTGGGGTATTTTAGGGAGACTCCTGAATTCAAATGACCTTCACCAATGTTTGGTGAATTCTGGGGAAATTTCGGGGTTGTGTGACATTTCCCCAAAATTTACTATAGCGGCTTCCCCAAATTTTCCCCAAAATTGGGAACTTGGGAGTGAACTATTTTATTCATTAATTGGGTGATTTATAGTGATTAGTTCAATTTAAAGATCACAATTGTCATCATTTAAGATCATTTAAAGAACTACTGGGAAAAACAAACAAATAACGTTTACGTCAAAAAAATTAAAGGTATTTAGATATATTTATACTTAAACAAATGAAAGTCTGTTAATCGATAAATTTCGTTATTCTTTTCTATTTACAACATGTATAAATGAATATCCATCCATACACTATCATCCAATGATTCTGTGACAACTTGTTTATTTATTTTTGAGCCAAATATTAGTCATATTATTAGTATTGGAATCAATATTGTGTTGTCTAGACTAATATTCCAGATAATCACTTTTACTTATAATCATATTTAATTTTGAGTAATCTTTTATCAAATCATTATGAATAGTAGTCATGTATAAACATGTTTAAGAAATATAGTTTAAAAAAATGTTAAACCAATGATGTATTAAGAACTAAAATAAGAAATTTCATTTAATCAATAATTTATCTTGTCTCTTTAATTACTTTTGTTAATGATTATAATTAATATAGTTAAGATCATGAGTCAATTGAAGCTAAACTACCATGGAAAACTTGGAAGCACTGGATGACCGTACCGTCCTGTTGTAGGACTTCTCAGCAGTGCGCATCCATGATCTCTCCCTGTAAGATTCGAACCCAGGACTTATCAGTTTCGCGCGCGAGCGCTTATAATTTAATTGTAAAATATGAAAATGATAAAATTCTTATTTAGATTTGAAAACTTATTCTTTTTAACTATATGTATGGATTTGGATTGTGAACCCAAGATCATAATTTATCTGTAATGAATACTTTGTTGACCGATTTCTCAGGTGAAACTTGAAATTTAATTAAACAGTAAGTCGGGTGATACTTGAAATCCATACAACTACAATTATTATTGATTCTATAAGTACCTACCTGATCTGTCTATATTTGTGAGGTGATAATGACACAAAATGTATATTGTTATGAATTATATTACTTTGATTGAAAATTTCTTTACAACTATGTATAATTTTTGTACAATAATTATATTTCCAAAAGGAGTTAGAGGATAGTGAACAGTAAAATCAGTGTATTGTAACAAATTCAGTTAGCATAGTTGTGATTAAATCCTTAAAAAATATCTTAGAGTTAAAGTCATCTAAGAAACAAAAGATTGTCATTTAAAACTGATTATATCAATTGTAAATATGTTTAAAGTAAACAAGTCATTATAAAATTGATTTTGAAACATGTTACTCATTAGTAGTGTAAATATTTACAAGAAATAATTGGAAGCTTAACATAAAGTGATATTAAGTGACCTCTTTGACAATGAATTAATTCTTAGAATATTTCAAATACCAGGTGTATATATTTTACATTAGAATGTCTTTTGCCAATACATTTTGAATTATTTACGGTTTTCTACTCTTCAGTGAGTTGCCCAAACTATTTATGTGAAATTACCGATTTGGAGCATTATTCAAATACTAGATGGTCTCGCAATTTTGTGGACTGGCTGAGATTAGACAATAACACCGTTGAATGGAGTCTCAGTGGTTTAGAGGTCATGCACTTGAGCGCGAGACTGGAGATCCTGGGTTCGAATTCCAGGTGCGGGATTGTGTACACGCACTGCTAAGGAGTCCCATACCGAGATAAAATGGACATTCATTGCTTACAGGTTTTCAATGGTCTGAAATTCATCGATTTATGATCTCAATCAAAAACTCAGTAACCCCATACTGGTAAAATACTATGGTTTATTAGAAATTCCGTCATTAAATGATTATGTTTCGCGATTTAATCCAAGATACATTTCCTGTTATTTCGAATTTAGTTTACCCATCATAATAGCCGACTAACATTGACGACAGCTTCTTCAGTCAAAATTTTTTATTAAATGTTCCGAACCTACTTTAATCCCTTAATTCCCCTAACAACGTTTTAACTTTCATCACTAAACATTAAATTTACTTCGAAGTAAGTTATTATTCATAAAGGTTGCTAACATTAGGGACTTCATTTGATCAGCATCTATTAGTACTTCCTGAGGAGACTATTTCAATACTGCCTCTAGTCACAAGGTTTAGTGTATTTAGGTTGTGAAAATCAGTGAAATCCAGGAAGTCATTTTCGTTCTATCTGAGATTTCTCATGTGGGTTAGTTTGTTAGGAAAAATTAAGTAACAAATGCATTTTGCTTGAGCACATTTCGATCTGAACTTATTCCGCTATAGTGAGCTGGAAATATTAAAATGTGTTATGCCGCGAAAGAAATGTATCCAATATCCCATCCATTAATATAACGCACTAGTAATTGCCGAATGGTTGTAGCCTGACCCATTTTCATCTATTTTATTGATCCATCATCCCTGAAGTCATTTTGATTTCAGTTTAGACATGAGGGTAAAGGCGTCACGAAGACAATGAACGGCCCAGAAATGCAGCGCCGTTACATTTACGAAGTTAAACCTATAAGAATCACTTTCTGATAAGAGATTAATGCTAATTACCAACTGTAATAATTTGTGTAACTACTGATATATCTAATCACCTCACTAGATTTTTCGGGTCTGCTAGTTTAAGAGACAAGATCTTAATATGGATTTTATTCCCTAAGTGTAAAGTTCAAATCACTTGGGGCTTACCAATAAACTTCAGTGTGCTAAAGAAACATGTCTGACAGTTCGGACCTGTGATCAGGCTTTAGATCTAAGAATTATTCTTCGAAGATAGATAATTACAAAGTAATGTAATAGAGTAAAACTCGTGCCAACTACCCGTGTCATATCACCCCGGAGATGTGTTACATATTAGAACAGTGAAAACAGAGATAATCCATTGGAACATAATTAGTGCAAGTCGGATGGATCAATCAAAACTACAAAATGACGTTTAACTGACCATAAGGTAAGTTCAGATTATTTTTGGCATTGTACTGCTTACTATCTAATCAAAGTATAAGTAAACCAACAATACACATCGACCAAATAATTAAAAATCACAGATAAATCATGCAACGTAAATAAATGTCATGCGACAAATTTCATAAGTCATTATTACAGTGATTATCCTTATTCTATGTATATTACATGGATTGATGTCTTTCAATTGGTTGTTTAAAAGTACTTCAATTTGATAGGAGTAAACAAGTGATTGTTTAATGTCGTGGACAAAGAAATGGCCCCACCTCAAGAAGTCAGGGACTGTGGATGAGCCGTGTTAATAGATAGAGAATACTTGGTTGGAGATGTTAGGTTACATGGCCCAGAAACGTCTACAATAACAGATTTAATCATTCTTTGTCTCCCTTGTATCTTGATTTAAAATCATTCTATACATTGTTATTCGACGAGTTCATATTTACTTCCGAAATCATATTGTTTAAACCAAATCTTTCTTACGACCACTGATACTGTCACTAATTCTATTATGTCATTTTGCTGTAGTGACGTGATGTGGCAACTAGAAATGGTGTCAGGTATATATATATATAAATCGATACGTCATACTGTTATGAAGCTTGATGTAAATAAAACGTAAACGAACGAAATAGTGAACATTACCGCAAAATTATTATTAAACAGAGCACATTGATGAATACAAAAAAACAGATTCATATATAATAACAGAAGAACCGAATTCTTTAACAGAAAATACTTTAACAGGCATACTATTAACAGATTACACGTCTATCTCTCACAAATTTTATTTACATAATACAAGCAAACACACATCCTTACATCTTATTAAAATGTAAGTAATCATAACTCGATTTAAATAAGCTGAATTGCTTTGTTTTTAAAAAAACACGAGAAATCATCCACAATGTGTAGACAAACAAACAACAACACAATATTACAGTGCTCGGGTATGTGTAATAACAAATTAATAATTGAGAGAAAAATAATAAACCTGTATGAATAACTTATCTGATTATTAATAATCATCATTGTATAATGAACTATACACATTTATATATATATATATATATATATATATATATATATATATATATATATATATATATATATATATATATATATATATATATATATCAGTTAAGGGAACGTTATTAAAACAAAACGGAAGAAACAGGAAAACTGATAATTTTTTTTAGAATTTCAACTGGAAGATTAAAAGAGAAATAGCAAAACAAAGCAAAGACAGCGATAAAAGTATAACGCTATTAAACAAACACTATCAGTGAGTGTATGCATATATATATATATATATATATATATATATATATATATATATATATATATTCACAACGTACAACTAAACAGTAGCGGTAGAGGGGATGGCGACGATAACAACCATTACAACACAGCTAAGAAAAGTAATGACACGTAAGAACAAGTCAACAAACTTGAATCAAAAAGTTACACAAATTTCGAACTAACGTGTATTCCATTCATTCTCTCTCTTCAAGCCTATGTAATATAGGCGATAAAAACAAGTTGGATACATGAACCTGAGAAAAAAATTATAACAATGACACAAAGGGAAAGAAAGGCAAATGGAGAAAGAAGGAAAAGTAACAAAGAAACAACTTTGGTTGTTTGTTGTTCGTTCTTGCCGATCAATTTTCCTGGTAATATGTGTATATACGCTACATAATAATAATAATGATAATAATAATAATAACAATAATAATAATAATAATAATAATAAATGTAGTTTTATACAACGTAGAACAATTTGTTAGTGAACAGAAGAAAAAGCTTTGAATGATCACATCAAAAGAGTAATGTGCATATTGATGTGGAGATGTATGTCGACTTGCTTGCTTTCTTACCAAAATTCTGAACAGCACAGAAAAAAACGGAACCAAAACAAAGATATAATACACAATCGAGATGAGAATTAGAAGAGAAAAAGTGATATAAAATGCACGAGGAAAGTGATTTTGAAGGGTGGTAGATAGGTAAGCAAATGTATGTATTGAAAGGAGAACAAATTGCAAGTAGAAACGATATTGACTTCGTAAATTATGATTATTTTTTCTTCGTAGCATCAAAAACAACATCAATGTGATATGACATAAAACAGTATAATATATGTATGTGAATATTAACGTTTACGTTTGATTGACTAGAAAATACTGACTCGTTTGTTGTTATTGTTGTTGTATGGTTTTTTGAACTACTAATGCTGTTATTTAATGTGTGCGTGTGTCGGTGTTCTGTTACCATTAGCGTCATACACAGAATAGCACATATAAATATACATACACGCACTAGCACCAGTAAGTAGGACATAAGAAGCAACATAGGAAAAAGGGAAAGCAACTAGCGCATAGATAGAATTAGTAAATTATTTCATAGACAGTAGCTTTACGATCACCAGACCCAGTGACTAGGAGTTTGTCATCTAGTGATATGTCGCAACTCAACACAGACGAGTTTTCTTTGACCTAAACGTAATAATAACAATAATGCAAGAAAAAAGAGAACATAGTGAAATAATCAGTAAAAAATGGAAAAATTCAAAATGATATAATTACCATACAACTAGGAATGCCATTTAAGTAATAACACTACCACTACCACCATTACTACTACTAACAATTCTGACAATTGAACAGTGTAAATGAAGTATAAAAAGGTATTTAAACGATATAATGGTAGTTTAATGGCATATAATTACTAGTTATTCGCATAATTCCTATTATAACACAGAGAATAAGAAATAAGCAGGCATAATCTTTAATCGCCCTCAACTTACTAAATTAGAACTAGATTAAGTACCATTCTGGGATAAACAAGAGAAAACTCCCTTATATTGAACATGATGGATCGAAGAAAAGGAAAACAGAACATAGTTTTTAGGTTAAAATATGTTAAGCATAGAAATATGCTTTATTTATAGTATGAACCTGTGAGAAAAGCCATTGTCTATGAGTATTTTTGTTTGGTTCTGATCGATTCTTCTTCAATAGTGTCATCTATAAAAGTTCTAGCGCTCAGGACTAACAAATCACACATGTATCTATCAGACATTCGAGAGCAATAGTTAAAGAATTTTTTTACCAGTATTTCATTTAAGTCAATACTCAAGAATAAGATGTGAAAATGAGCTTTTAAAATCAAAGCTAATAAACAATAAGGCTGAGTTGCACAAGTCGTAAATAATCGACTACCAGAAGAAGTTGAATTTTATTAAAATAGTAGATAAATCCAGCTAACTAGACTGAAAATACGAAATTGAATCTAAAAAAGCCTGTTAAATGTCTACAAGTGGACCAACTCACTAGGTCAACAGAAATCTTTAGTAAATTAAATTCTTCTATGAAAACATAAAGAACTCAAAATAATATAAAAGGAGTAGAACCACCAATATTTATGGCAACCCAATAAACTATGGAAACGTCAAAGTACTACCCAAATATAATTGAATTCAAATTGACATGCGAGACCAACGGGGTAGAAAAAAATTACTAATTGGGTCAAACAATAGTAACATACTAAAAACTAGTCAGTATGGCTCGTTTTGCACTATATGGCGAACAAACGTTAAAATTATACGACTTTTAGGACTCTAAAACTCATTGCATTAGGTATTTTCTCAACGTAGTTTTATAAATAGGTTGGAAATTTGTACTGAAAATAGAACTGACCTGAAAGAGGTTAGCACCATAAGGAGTTCTCCAAGCGTATAGACAATGGTCTTTACCAGTGGAAGCAAACCACAAGCCACTGTGAGCAAATTTAAGAGACAAAACACAACTTTCATGCAGCGATAGTTGATAACGTTCTGGACGACCAGGACCGAACACTTCAACTTGATCTGTTTCCAATCCAACAGCTAACCAATCTCCCGTTGGACAATAACCAAGGGAAAATATTTGAGCTGACAAATCAACTTGACTTATTTGGCAATGCTCCCGTAAGTCCCAACAACGTACAGTTTTATCTAAGCCTCCACTCCACAAGCGTGTTCCATCTGGACGGATATCGACACACGATGCTCCTTCAGCATGCCCTTGATACTGACGAACTAAAATACGGTTATGTATATCCCAAACACCAATATTTCCATTTGAACAGCAGCTAGAAGTATGGTGTAATCAGGAAATAGAAATTGCCATAAGATAGTAAAATAGTTTGACAGAACAAGAGAATAATGGTTTTGTAATCATTTGTCACAAGTACAGTAATCAATCACAATTAAAAATCCTATTTATTAGAAAAACTATATTAAAAGCCAATGACTTATAAGAAATCTGTGTAGAAATCCTAAAACATACCTAGACTTTTGCCTATGAATCGAAAATCGCCTATCTGTACTACTCTACATCTATGAAACGCGGTCTTTGAAAGTAAGAGATAAGCATAGGCTTAAAGTATTTGACAACAGGTATCTTCAAAGTATTGTCGCATATTGTGCAACGGTCGAATAAAGTTGAAGTTAGTTAAAGGGCGCTAGGCAAAATTAGCAAATCGGTTGATGACAATGCAAATTCTTATCGATTGATGTGGTAGATCGTGTATTACGTATGTTTGACCACTGCCTAACTCGATAGATGATGTTAGCTGGTGGTAAAGGCAAATCGAAAGGAAGCGACCAAAGTAAAACATGTCATAAGTCAATGAAACCACTGACTTTTGTTCTGAACCATGTTGATGAATCCGTTCCACTCGATCGGGATGAATGCGATAACCCCGATTAATGATTGGAAATTTCGGATGAAATGTTTCAGAATCAACCACAATGGTGTAAATGCAGTCAATCTTTACTTTATTTTAAATCTTGAGCTTCAGCATTCCAGATGCAACTGATAGAAAAATATGATCAATGTATTTTACAGAATTTGAACAGTTATAACACAATATTCTATAGAAGGAAAAAATGTCAACTTTTACACATTCTCAACTTGTAAGTCTAGAATACAGAATGTTGTATAAATGAAGGTGAATTAAACAACAAAGAAGGTAGTACTCCATAAATGTACTACTTACAACCACTACACTAACATCTAATTAATTATTAAAACCTACTAATAATTAATAACTACAGTGAAACTATTCATTCAAATTTAAACGGAAGTTTTTACAGATATACCAGCATCTAGTGTATACAACCACTTTTGTAAGTTTTATCTAAACAGATTTTCATTACCAATTAAATATTTTCAAAATAGTATCAATACAAGTAAACAATATATCATTGAATAATTATTATATTATATGACAAACTAGCAATAAATTGTTTTAGTTAAACATTAACTTTGTAAACACTATAAGAAATGTGCAAATCATTAGCATCTAAACATTGCATTGCAGCAAATACACAATATGTATCTTTATATTATTTATTTATTTTAGCACATAGATATTGGTACAAGGAGGCAGCAAATACATATGCGCCACACAGATCTTATTCGATATGTGTGATGGCTGTGATACTGCCCGGGTGCCCAAAATGTGATTTTTCTCAAAATATTCATCCATTTATCAATGTAATGAATATTCTAATATTACTTTAGATTACTTAAAAAACAAGAAGCCTGAAAAAATCAAAATAGTTCATAAGGACTATGAATCAACTTAATAAAAGCTTCAAATGACTACTGAACTAATCATTGTGTACAGTTTCGATGACGAGACAAAAAAAAAGAATACATATCAGACAATTTACCATTGTTCACTAATCAAAAAAAACATACTGAACTATTATTTCAGAGAATATGTAAGGTGTGTATCTCCTCATACACTATTAACTTTTCAACGTATCAGATCATGCTTATTAATTATATAAACTTTAAAGGTATGCACAACCAAGATAAAGTGATCAATAAATAAATCAAATATTAAGATTATCAAATTAATTACTAGATAACATTATGACAAAAACATTTACCAACCATACAAAACCTAATGAAAAAAGAAATGTTGCAAATATATGATGATCATAAATAACAATATATTATAATTACCTGAAGCATAATTTACTATCAGGCGATACAGCCAAAGCATAACATGCTGGCGCTGTAAATGTAAGTTCACTTTTTGGATGAGGACTAGCTTGACCCAAATCCCATATACTTAATATACTAGATTCACCACCTACCACTAATGTTCTTCCATCCTACATTTAAAAAAAGGAAAAGATAGAAATAATTTCTAGTTGACGACTAAAATTTCTTCATCTACGAAAATCCTAATATTTAAATAGTAAGTTAATTAGAAAACAAAAAGTATAAACAAGAGGCATATAACATCTTGAGAACAAATGGGACTGAATGTGTTAGTTGAATTTTAACCAGAAAGTTAGTGATTCAAATTCATTTAAGCTTATTTAAATTTGGAGAACCAGGGGATGATAATAGTGAGTTCACGTAATGTACCCCTTCTCTAAAACTTTTCCAATGGCGACCGAAAATTTTTATAACGAAGCAGATGTTTCAAAAATTGGTACTAGTTTTTAGAATTATTATTATCGTATTGTAATTGTATTAATTACTGGCTAGTTAGGCTACTATTTATATGTATCTCATTTACCATACGCTTTTGGTTAACACATTCACTACTGTTATATGACTTATCAATCCCAATTTGTTCCCAGTCTATTACTTACAGACTCCCTTATTTATAAACACTTTGGGCTTGTTTATTAATAATTAGTGTGATGCGGTTCGGTGTTTCTGTATAGAAGCTACGTTCATTTGAAATATAAATATGGTAAAGGTTGGTTACCACTTTTGGACTCGAGGCCGGACACAGAAAGTAGCTTGCGAATAACGGACCAATAGGAACTCAACTGTCGGTTCAGAGTCATTAGTGCTTTTCTAGCGTGTAATTGGTCAGTTTGGGGAAACTAGGCTATCGAGGAGACAGTACATGCGAAATAGATCAAATTAGAGTTAGAATCCTGATTTGATGACTCGACACGTGACATTAGTCAGGGATATTAACATGACGAAAATAAGTTGCGCATTTCAATGAGAAAAACTAAGAAATTTATACGTTAACCAAATTTTTATTAAACTCTACACAATTTCTATCAATCGACTTGGTTATTTCTTTGTCGTACATGAAGATTATCTATCTAACATAACTTGTAGGCTGAACCTGTTTCAGTGATATTTTCTCATCATTGGCTAAAAACCTTGTGAAAATCTATCGTGTCCTTTTAAAAAAGGTTCTCTAAACCAAAAGAGGAAAAGAAATAAAGCCAGAAATCATTAGATACATGCGCAACAGTATAATTGTAATCCACTTGTGAGATGATTATCAATAAGAACTTGTTAATAATAATAAAATGGGTAAATAAAAAATAACCTGCATTGAACGCAACTTTTCCATAATTCAATTTAATCTACTTTCAAGTAGTATGAAAAATCTGTCACATTTTTAACTGTATGGATAAGGTGAGCGTTACAGAAAACTTGTAAGTTGAAGTCCCAGTCCCAGTTTAGGAATAGTATATGTTTGTCTTAGAAGTTAGTTGGTTGAATGATTGAATTCTTTTGAAAACACTTTATTGTGCAATAGTTGAATTAACTAAATTTAAAAATAATTCCGGAGTGTGTTAGGTAATAAACGCTATATACTGTTACTAGGCTAATTTATAAATTTTATTTAAAGAATTTACTATTAACTTCGTTATAGAATGGAAACTAGGACACTTTTTGCGATATTTATTGTATATGTCATCCTTCCAAATACTTGACAGACTATAGTTCTAAGTACAGATACACATATCTATATAGACAAGTAAAAAGTCTAACTTCAGAATAAAATAGTTTTTGGTGTTCACAAATAAAATAACAACTAACATCCAACAAACATTCAAACACAGTGAATATAAGACTATTCTACAATTTACTTGAGTTAATTTAATTGATCGTATGTATTTATCTCTTTGTAAACACTCAAGACTTGTTATACACGTTTTATTAGTGATGATTGATTGACCTGAACTTCCACCGCAATTCGGAGATTGATTAGATGTAGTTGAATTTAAATCCCATAGTTTAACAGTGCCTTTACCTCCAGTATAAATCTGATGTGTAGCATTGTTAATTGTAACAGCACAGACAACTTCTCCGTGATCCAAACAATGTATCGCTTTTGCTTGATGTGGAATACCTGGACCAAAGAAAGCATCTGGAGTGAATGGTACAGGAGTTGGTGATTGGTTATCCAAACGAAGAAATGAATATGGTCTACAAGATCGGAATCAAGAAATATATATATAATTGGACAAATTTTGTATATATTTCAGATAGTAACAGTAATTTTCCTTATTCAGTATGGATACAAAGATTGTTTCAGAAATGTTTGAATAACTGAAGAATTACCTTAATAGAGTAAATTTAATAAATATTCCGTTAGCTTAGTAATATTCATAAAGACATAAAAATAAAAATAAAAACCACAACATTGAAAGATGAACAAAATATTCATCTATTTTTGCATTGAACTAAAGATAAAGATCTACATAAAGGCTTTCAATTTCCACATTGTTGATATTAAAAACTTTATTTAATCAGTAACTATTGTTAATATATTTCCTTTATGAGAAGACTACTTTTGCACTCCTTATAGTTACAAATTTTCAGTACATTTAAACTGTAGTGTGTAGTGAGATCTAAGATGCTTTGGCTGTCTTCCAATGATAATATAGACAGTTAACATAAAGATGAGTATGAGCTACTAATAAAATAACTGAATAAATAAATACAAACAATAGCCAATTATATAAGCGATTTCTATAGTATTTATTAATTTACTTTTATTTATTTCAGTTTTTTCCATGATTCAACCTATTACACAAATGTACAAACATCAGATAAATTAACCCGAGTTAACCAGACAAACTTAATTATACAATGGTTCAAATGAACATGTACAACCCTTCGTACATGAAATGAATATCCCTAAGATAATGTATTATTTTCCCAAAATAGATGGAACGGGCAAATTTATAGACCTATGCGTTTAGAGATGGATAACCAAAGCGTTCTAACAAATTTTATCATATGCGCACACAAATACATACAATTTAGTTGATGTAACAGAAAACAGAAATTATGGGTTAAACCACACATTTCCACGTACACCATACAGATAAATACATATTAAAGTGAATATACACAAATTCCAATTATGTGTACAGAAAAATGAACAAGTATATAATGATGTGATTAGAACATAGACAAAGCAACTTGATATCTGAAAAGGTTGGGTGTCGAAAGGAAATAAAAGGAAGGTGGTAGGGAGAGATAATGGACAGTCTAACAACAGACTATTAGGAGAATGTCATAATGTAAACTAAAAAAATACTCTATTACTCTTGACCGAAAGTATATTGATATTGTTACTAGAACAAACATTTGGTGGAGAGACGAAGATATTTCCTTTATCTACAGTCAGAACAGACACGAACATACAGACAAACAGGAAGTATACCATAATCAAAGAAGGATAGAGAAAAGTGAATATCTACACAAAAAATGAGATGAATAGTGGAGGGGAGTTAAGGAAGTAATGACAACTTAGGTGATAAATCTGAAGGGTGGTTGGTGAAATTACAAACGTAAGAAGAAACATGTGTTATGTTTGAGTATTAATTTAGGTTGGAGAGACAGGAATAGACAATTAAAAAACACAGAAACAGTGTAAGGCAGGGAGGGTTGACATACAACGTAGTAAGAACATCGGTGTTCTGTAATTAAGACTTTTAAGAGAGTTCTTTTTTTAAGATGATTGCATAAAAACGTTTGTGGTGGTGGAGAGTAGAAGATGCATCATCTAATGGCCAAGTGTAGGTTAAAGTAGAAAGAGATGTTTAAGTAGGAGCATAGCAAAGATAAATAGTGAAAGAAAAAAGAAACTGAAGACATTACATTATACAAGCTGATCGAATAGTATAAAACTGGCAGGTACAAAAAACATGGGACAATACACACTTTCAAACAAATGCTGCTGAATATTTAACTATGTATGCATATATGGCGGGGGCAGTAAGATGGATATAGTTTTTAAAAAACATACAAAAAAGAAGGTTCAAAACGGGTTGGAGGTTACAAATTTGATGCAAATAAACAACGATACGTGAAATATAGGAGGGAAAGAGGAAAAGTAAGGAGACACGAGGGAAATAAATAAAATTTTAATAAAAATAGAAATATTTTTTCTCAACAGAAAAAATCCCTTCGCTATAAGTATCAATGGGAGAGAAAACAAAAAACAGAACAGAATATTGGCAAATCTATGACATGAGAATATATTAGTAATAAGATGACAGACTTGTTGTTGTTATTTGTCGAAGCAAAGCTCTCTATAAGAGATTAGGACATACAACAACAATCATCTCTTCAGTGAACTGAAAAAAAAAACTCAAAGCACTAAATTTGATTATATGTATAAACAAAGAATATTTCCAGCCCAAAGAGACAGTAGATAAAATATTAAATAAAAAGCATGACAGAGAATATCTCCTTAATTCGAACAACCTACACAAAATTATGAAGCCGATTAGAAAAGTGATGTGATTAAATGGTACTAGATTGAATAGATCATATAACTAACAAAAAACGTATATAAGAAGAGTTCATCGAACGAAGTCAATAACTTACGGTCTGCCAATATTCGAAATTCCACTCATTCCAGAACTACCAAAATTTGTATCAAACATCATCTGATAAATAGAGGCGGAAAAATAAAGAAATTATTTTAAATGAAATATAAATAACACTGGTAAAATGACACGATGTATATAGATCTTAAAAAGTGTATGTAAATCGAATTTACTACATGGAAAAAATACTTTAATCAAAAGTAAAACTTCTGAATGTATTCCATGGAATTTAATACAGATTTGCAAAATATAATAAGTTAGGATAAATTTTATAAAAGGATAGACATTTCTTTATCCTCTCAACAATTTCATATCATTAATAATCATATTGATTTGGATGACATCCCGACTCATCAATTTAACATTAAACTAACTAATTCAGCGAAATAGGGTATATGATTGTTTTTATTATGAAGTAATATATTATAGAAACACAAATAATTAATTTTTTTCATTTCAAAGACTAACAAAATTATAAGTGCTTACAGAACGAAATAAGCCTCATTTTAACAAGCTCCTATATTAGCAATAGAGCACATAGATGATTCAACACTTTTTTATTTTGTTTACTTTAATATATCGTTCCAAATAATCAGTTGAACAGAGAAGAATGGAATATAAGAGTTAGAAAATACATATGAAGAGAAAATATTGACAAGAAATTACACATGTGGGGAAATTCCAAACTTCAACCATATTGGGAATGTTGTTGATTACGAAAAACAAAGAACTACACACAAACACAATAAAACTGACAATGAATACAAATGACACAAAAAATCGCTAGAATACTATAGTTTCCTCTATATTATACTAATATACATAAAGAAAACTGGTTTGACAATCCTTTTTCTACGCAATTGATTGATTATTAAATAGTTACTAAAGTTGTGTGTCTAGTCCATTGGTGTTGATCAAATTGTTTGGCCTTATTTAAATTCACTAGAGGAACAAATTACATAATTTTTATCAGTCAAGTTGCAATGTAACCACTAGTCTAAATAACTCAATATTGCGTTTACTACGTTGAGATGTTAAGTGGTAGGAGGTAGACGGTAGAAAAGTCAGGGACAAGTTTTATGCTAATAGGCATTTATCAACTAAGAATACATCTGCAAACTTGAGAGGATCGAAGCATCTTTTGGATTTCAATTACAAGTAAGCCTTGCGAATGAATATCAACTAGGACAAAACTTAAGTGCAGAGTATCCTGTTAACTAGGTCCTATCACTACTAAACATTTACTCTTCTCATGGTTAACATATGGATTAAAACATCTCTAGATGTCATTGAAAAGCACATTAAAAAAAGCGGGATAAATGATTATACCACTATAATTTTGGTATATATAAAAGTATGATAATATAGTAACAATGATAAAAATGTGGCAATGATTATTGAACAACTAATCGACTCATTTGTGCAAATATTTATATATATAATACTTGATACCAAAGAAAATAAAACAAAATATGTAATTCTGACTTCATTATTAAAGCCTAATCTCATGATGATCACTCACTTACTAGTTGGCTAATTATTAACTAAAATGTTGATTATCAGTGCCCCTCAACATTCATTCTTATTTACTTATACTATTCTATATCTAATATTTCAAGTTTAATTACAGAACTTAAAATCATACGATATACATTACTAAGATGGTGTTTGTGAATGTTCGAATAACAAACACATACAAGAGCACTTGAATAATGAAAACATGTTAATAGCTTTAAAAGTATGTGGTATTATAGACTTAACTATTAACCAAAGCTAATTTCATTAAAATCATGAACCGACCAATCAGCCCCCAAATACCCTGGTACGGACGAGAATGGGGAGAGTCCGCTCTCCCCCTCGAAATGCTCGCACATGGCCACGCGTATATAGCCTCTACTAGGGAAGTCCTACTCACTGCCTTCTTGCGGTGGGTGTGTTATTTAGGAAAATGAGAGGACGAAAAGCGAATGTCCGGCACTTTAACCGGATTCCAAACCAATGGTGCACGTGGGCCCCAGCATCCTGCGGGAACAAATGGCACATGAACCAATCGTTGGTCACCGGCTTCCATGGGACTGCATCTCCTTACGATGCTCCACTGCCTTGTGGATCAGACCTTCAGGTCGAAGGCTCGGGGTGTGGCCTCCTAAGAAAACCACCTGCTTCGGTTTGGGCGTCCTAGCAGTATTACAGCCTTCACACATATCAAATGAGATCTGCGTGGCGCATATGTATTTGGTACCTCATTGTACCAATATCTATGTGTTAAAATAATAATAATAATCCTAACAACCCTATATAGTGATAATTATGTGGTCACAAGTAGTAACTAGCTTCGAGAGGTAATTCTCGAAGTCTTAGTGAGAAACTGTGACCAGGAGAGTTCAACAGTGTAGGGTGTGTGGCAGTTACTCACAAAAGAAAATGAGAGATGGTCACGAAACATTATGGATTGATTGAAATTAAACACCTTTGGATGGTGGCTCAGTGGGCTAGAGGTCAAGTGTTCGTGCACGACACCAAAGGTCCTATATGAAATGAATGCGCTGATTCTATGTAGTCGAGTTCAATTCATATATGAACAGGCTTATAAACATCTCTGTATACATTGGGGGATTCATCAAGTAAAACTCGTTAATTCCTTAACTCCTGATTTCACATACCAGCAATTCGAATGGTTGTCATCATTAATGAAAAGCATTTTGCAGATAAATATTAGTATGCTAATAAGATTCCTCTGAAATAAACCTATTTAAACTTTTCTGTACAGTTTCCCCAGGTCTAATATATAATATATTAATGAAACAAACAGACGTTAGCTATTGACTGTGAAAGGACAGCGAATTTGAAGAAGTTTTAAAACACTGATTTGGTACGATCGAAACATATTTTCCACTTGAAAACTGGAACCATTTTCCACCGTTCTGAATGGTAAACAATGATAAATTGAACATGAATGATTGAACGTTTATAAAGGGGCTAAAAATGGGATATTGTGAAAAATGTACACGTTTCATAGAACAGTCACCAATATATCAATATTATGTATTCAGGTGGCATGTGGCTATGTAATCATGTAACAACAAATGCCAACAATTCAGTCAATTAAGAGTTCAGGCATTTAAACATCAATTAGGTTGCGGGCAGCAATAGATGGTGTTACACAAAATTACCCATGGTTCTCAGTTTTTCAGTTATCAAACTTTATTTAGAGATATCCAGAGTTACTGAAAATTAACTTTTCGACGATAACTATAAATATTTTGAGAAATTATAAGCTTATAAAATGGAAACTGGGCAAAACCAAAGCTTTTCGCATCACAGCATTAAAAAAAGATAAATTGTTCGATATACATAAACTACAAACTTAGAAGATGAATATCAGATAGACGAAGTTACGTAACAAACTGATTTCGTATAAATAATAGAGCAGAAACAATGACGATGACAATCAAGCACCTAGTCTGAAAGTGAAAAGCATCATGGTGAAAAAATCATGACAAAGAACCACTCAACCTGAATAGCTACACCCTGAAGCATATTTAGATGACAAGCCACCATTAAAACAATTACTACTACATATACGCAGGCATAATACTAGTGTACTTACCTAAGAAATAATAAAGAATAACATATAATAATTCTTCTCAGTGATACCAGTATATATATATATATATATATATATATATATATACCGATAATTGATTGATATGCTAAGTAGCATTAGCTCGTGCCGTATATATATATATATATATATATACTTTTTATTCATTAATATCTTCATGATAGTGGTAGATGCTAGTCCTTTTGCTTGTTTGTTTGTTTTAAATGACATAGCATGAGAGTATGTATATGGGGGAGACAGTATGTGAAAATACAAATATAAGTAGATAAGTTAATATGAGTGTTTGTATGTTGATGAATTTACAAGTGGGGATATATATTTTTAAGGGTTTTTTTGTAACCTAATCCTGTTCTTTATCAAAAGAATATGAGTGAAGAATCATTCACAGCTACCGAATCTATTAACTACAACCATAACCAATAATAATAAACAGAGTACATAAGCCTCATTGGATGTGGTCCCATAAGTAGTGGAAATATTTATATAAATTAAGGTTTTCTTTTTTATTAGATATGAAGGCGTCTTTTATACGTTGCAGATTAAAATGAATAAAAAGTGAAGGGCTAATGCGTACACAAATGAATGTTCAATTATATTATATATATTATATATATATATATATATATATATATATATATATATATATATATATATATATATATATATATATATATAATATTATATATTATATATATTCAATTATATTGACTAATCGATGACATAATATTAGTTTAGGGAAACACAATATCAACAATAAATGATTATCTACATTGTCCAAAATTATCTGAAAATAATAATTACATTAAATAGTTTATACAATAACTTCAGAATTTCGTCAACAAATGTAGCTATTAGAAACTAATCATTCCTATTCCATAATCTAAAATAAACGAAGAAAATATTGATCAAATTCGTACACCACGACAACTCTATGATATAAACATGATTTGTGAAGAAACTCTCTAAGTAAGTCTACCACGTTTACGTATTTGGAATCACAATCCTAGTGTGAAGAATAGTGATACGATCCAAGCCTCCAAAATAAATGTAAAATGGATGAATATGAAGCCTAACAACGGAAGAGAGTAGAGGGGATTTAACGACGTGACAAAGAGACTTCTGAGTTAACAACCTGAACAAGCAAAACATACTACTCGGATCGACATCCTATTAAAACTTTGATAACAAGATCGTGAAACAAAAAATTGTAAAAATCAGTATAGAGAGATGGCAGATTACTGGCTCTCCAAATATGCATTACCAATTTTCGCAAACTAAGAATAATAACCGTGTGGTCAATAGTGACTAGTTTCAGGAGGTAATCCATGGAGTTCTAGTAAGGTCGTGAGCAATGAAGCCCAATTATATCTGATGTGGGGCGGTTAACCACTGATATTATTGGGAGATAGTTGTGAAATATGGAGAATTGGCTGGAGGTAGGAATGTAAATCACTGGATGCCAACTCAATAGTCTAAAGGTTAAGCGCTAGCAGCAAGACTTGAAGGTTGTGGTCCAATTGCAGTAGGGGTTGTGGATGTGTACTGCTAAGGAATTATTTACTAGGAATAAATAGCTTTCCAATGCTTCCTGGTTTCCAATTGTTATTTAACAAAGATTAATCCGTGGTGTGGACTACAAAATTGTAAAAATTATCAAAATTTCAGATAGTGTACGACAGGCTTACATTTACAGGTTTTAAAGACAAAAGTTGAAAATAGTGAACGGAACAGTGAGGACTCGTAACAAAAATATATACACTATGCCGGATGTCAACATTAAATATAAGGACTAATCAAAAATAGAAAAATATTAAGAATGCTATTATAAATAAATTAACTTTATATTGTAGAAACAATTACAACAATAATAGCAGTACCTTTTGAGAAATCTACATAGAGAAAGTAAGAAAGAGGAATTTAACTATGGCTTTAACAGGAGGTCCTGTATTTTCAATAAAATACTACTTACCGCCGATGCCGACGATGTTGTTGTTGTTGATAATGGTACTGAAGAAGGATTTTGTTGTGTAGACGAAACTGAATGGCCATCAGTATTTGGTGTTAATGCGTCAGAAGTAAGATGGGGCGGAGAAAGAGAAACAGCACCGACACCAGGTATATTGACACCACCACCAGCACCCATTGAAGATAAAGGACTAGGTACTGATAATTCACCTAAACGAATGTAAAAGAAGAAACTATACTTCGATATACATATATAACCTCATATTCAGAGGTATGTATTACTGTAACTTATTGTTCATATTTCGGTGGAACAATTTAAAAATATCGATCATGTCAATATGCAAAACAATCTATGAAGCCATGTATCGATATTCTTCGACAATATTCAAATGACAATTAATTTAATCTGATGATCTTATTCAAGGAAGTCATCAACTTTTAGCTCCTTGAATCGATGCACTTTGTCATATTCAAATGAATTATAACGAAGATGACAATCTTCTGATTGCACTGTCGAAACTTATCAAAGGGACTAATACCTTCAAGATAATTCATACTCGCTTCTTGAATAATGTTTAAAAACTAATAGAAGATTCCGATCCTAAAATAAGGATGATTATCTACACTTGAAAGCAATTGATTGATCAGATGATTTAATATAGCAAAAGATTAGCATAAAAACTAATTTCGTTTACCGAAAGGGGTTATAGAAATATATATGGTTAACTTTATATAGTCTTAACAATGACGATCTATAAAGCTGTTGTAAAAAACTAAAACATAAATATATACTACACATAACAGCGCATTAGACACATAATACTAATACTATTATTATTATTATTATTATTGAAAAAGAAACCCGTCCCACACCCACTTAAGTAGTGTATCAGGACAGCTGATCAAGCAATATTATAAATGAAACTAGCCGACTAAATGATAGCTTCAATTCCCCCTACTACCACCACCTACCTTCTCTACTTCTACATCATATTATTTATTATTGCCATCCCAACTAGGTCATGAAAGCTAACATAACAACTACCACCCCAATACTATTTTGTTCCAGTTACTGACCCAAGCTACGACGACATAAGAGTGGAGAGAGAGAGGTGAGGTGAGGTGAAGGCGCAATTAGAATTGTGTTGTTTTTGTTGTTATCGCTGTTGGTACTGATGTGATATATAGAATAAAGGCATGCTGAGTCGGATGGGACTTATAATATATACAAGATAGTGGTGACGGTGATGGTGGTGTACAACATAAAACTGAAGGGTGGTGAGACATATGTCTAATCGATAAAGGAAAATGATGGTGGGGACAAGACAAGGAAAATAAAAAAACAGAAATGAATTGTATTTGTTAGGAGAGAGAGAGAATAAGAGCAATAAGGCAAATTTAAGGTATGTACACACCTCACAAACCAAATGGCATGTTAACACAGTGGGGTGGATGAATGAACAGGAAAAAGAAAATAGGCTACTTTTGTTATTATGTGTAAAGTGATAGACCCTAAAACGAAAGGTCTATATATAAGCTTTTATATGGTATGTGTGTTCAGAGGATCTGCATACATAAGCGAACAAACATTCGTATAGGTGTGTATATGTGAGTTGACACACACAAACAAACAAAAGATACACATCTTTTTCATACATAAATTCATGTATGTACATATTATTGGGTGTGGGTAGGACCAAAAAGAGATATAGAAAAACAAAGAAAAGGATGCGGATAGATTGACTACATAAATTGCTATTAGTCTCAATAATTTTTATGTTAGAGAGCTTGTTTTCAATTCTCGCGACAGTTGGAGCTTATATATATACTAAGGGAATAGTATAAGTTGAACGTGATGTTTATGTGGTTAATTTATTTTTACGATAGAACCGAAAGAAAATAATATTTGCAATCTCCTCATGCACACATAAAAAGCACGAAGTATTAAATGAACTAATCACAGAACCATCTGATGGTCGATCAGCATCATTATCATCTTACCTCCTGCCAAAGAAGAAATTGAACCTATTCTGCATGAATTCGATACGTTGGTAGTGCTAGCAACTACAGGTGATAACGATGATTTAACATTGGATGTAGTAGTATGTTGTTTATTATGAAATGTCCCAGTCGAAGGAGGAACAGGAGGAGGTGGGGGATCAGTGCAAGTTGTATGCGATTGTTGATTTTGTGGTGATGTAGTACAACTTGGTGTACCACTACCAGAACCACTACTCAAAAGTGGCGGTGGATTTTCATCAAATTCTTTTTGATCTAATTCAAGTGAATGATCTCGTTGGGTATTGTTATTCGTGGTGGAATTATGATTGTGATTATTACTCTCAGGATGTGATAGAGTTATGCCGTTACCAGAAGAATGGTTTTTGTAAACAGAAGAATTCGGTGCACCATTACTGCTACTATTATTACCATTATGCTTTGTTGATGGAGTACGTCGACCGGAAGAATTTGAGCTTTTAACACGAACCTGTGTAGAAAAATAATAAATGATAATGAATATTTATAATAGTAGAAGTAGTAAGAATTTACGATTCATAAAAAATTGCTGCTACTTCAGTCAATATACAACTACAACTAATCAGAGGAAAAGATATCATAATGATTGAACGTAGAAGCATAAATAGTGAACATTTGACCATATTTTACATAAACCTGAGTTATTCTATCAGCTTCGAAAGACATAACATGCAATATGCTTTTGAATACTAACTTTTATAAATTCTAAGTGGACTAGTAGTAAAATATAAAAAGGATTTTATTGTAATGGTTAGAACTGTGAATGAAGTCACTGAATTGTTCTTCAATGACATGACACCTAAAATTGGTTCGATATTTGGTAGTCGTGTGCACGTACATCACTGAGGGATCGCATGCTAGGATGAGGAAATTGTACAGTGCTTCCAGGTTTCAAATAGTCATTTAACAAAAATGAGTCCGTAATGTGAAATATGCAAATGTTGAATTATTAAGTTTGAAAGGCATTTACAGAATCCAACAGGGAAAATTTAACTACAAAAACTAAGTATTAGTAAATGTTTATTAGCCAGTAAGTTCTATGCACAATTCCAATGTCGTTCATCCTACACGTTTGGGACTTGATCGTCAGTTACTCAATGAAATCATCACTATTATATATATATATATATATATATATATATATATATATATATATATATATATATATATATATATCAAGCATACCACCCAACTTCGTGTATTCACAATAGAGCTACTAGCCAGTTATCTATATTTTATACGGATGATACAATAGTAATTACTCACCAATCCGTTTTCTTCCAAAGAACTATTACCAACCGCGTTACATTTGTCTCCGGAGGTGGGCTAACGACAGAATTGAAAATGAACATAGCACTTACTGTTTATATATATGTGATTTACATGAAAACAGATACTTCAAAACTGCAGATTATCAAATAATATAAATAGGCAAAGTATTAACACATGTGTATTTCTATGTCAGTGTATATATAACACATGCTATGATACAAACGGGAATTGGTTTTTTATATAGATAATAGTGACAGACAAAAAACCTAAAGAATAGATTTCTTTAGCGTACTTGTAAGGTTTCCAGAAATGTACTATGGTAGTTCCATAGTTGTCAAAATGACATTTCAACAAAATTGAACGCAGGAATTTATATGTTCCAAAAGTAAGCATTTTCATTACTTTGTCAAAAACTTGAGTCTACCAGTAGAAATACATGCGTTCAACAGTCATATTTACATATATTAGCTTTACCTGAGCTCTACCATTAAGCAAAATATTAACAGATTGAATAATGTATTGTTATGTGATCTGTAAAATTTTACACGTTAAGAACTCCCTGTAACTCATAAACATCATCAAGTGCCAAACTGGAAATTAATAACTACAGTAAAAAGTCTAATTAATTAACGCTTAAAAAAGAAATGCACAAATTACTGTCAATAAGAAATGGATAAATCTATGGAAGATTTACAATAATAAATAAGATAGAATACAAAATACGTAGTACAGTATTATTATGCTAAAAAAAAGTTATTACTAACCAAAATGTTGACAGGTAAAAGGAAACAAACTTACTCTTTCAGTTTTACGACGTTTCTCATCTGGCGGTGCATTTGAATGTACATCAAGCAAACCTGGAGATCGAGAATTCGTACGTTGGCGACTTGGACAAGAATTAACACTGGGTACAGGTGTTGAACTTTTTGATGGTGGTAAAACAGAACCTGGGTTAGGAAATGTTGATGATATAGACGATGATGATGGAGGTAATAGATTATTTGAACCAAAACCAGATATATCTGGATGTAAACCACCGAAAAGTCCAGACGATAAAGGAAGGCCTGAATTAAGTCCATCATGCATATCTGGATTCATGCCTACTGCTGCAACAGACTGGGCAGCAGCAAAACTAGCCATTGTAGCCATTAAATTATGCGCATCCATTGGTGAAGACCCTGATAGACTATTAGACCCGAAGTTTAACGGTAGACCAAAAGCTCCTGGTGGGCCACCTTGTGAAGCGGCGGCAGCTGCGGCCATCGCTGCAGCCATTGCCGCGGCAGCTGCTGTTCTCTGAAAAGAACAATGAAACGTTTATACTTCAGGAGAAAAATTAATTATGTTTAACAAGTTGATGGCAGACAGAAACAAGTAACCATGCATGAAAATATCAAATTTTTGCCTAAAAACTAATATCAAACGTATTAAAAACACGAATTTGAGTATAAATACGAAAACCATCAAATTATGGTGAAAAGAGAATAAAATCAGATTTTTAATACTTGAAGGCATCCATCTCCGTAACCATGACCGGTATAGTATGAAAAGTCACTAACCATTAATTTTCCATTTTTCAGAATCTTTATTCGGTAAAACCAAACAAATTAGACCAAAACGATCAAGAAAATTGGAATAATTTGGTTTAGCTACAAGAATATTTCCACCTTAAATTAGGTCAACATTGAAAGTTAAAATAAAAGATGGAATAGAATACGCGTAACACACTAAATAGGGCAAGTTTACAATTTAATCAACTAGCGAATTAATGACTAGGCACAAACATGAATTGATAAGTGGTGACGAGATAATTACTCTTTTATATCTTATCAATTTAGCTATTCATAAAGAAATCGGCTAACCGATACAAACTTAAATCTATAATGTAAGTCTAACAGTACACAAAGAGAATAGAAAGTAAAACGATTACACGAATAAAATACAATAAAAATATCTGTGATAGCGAAACAAGAAACAGATTAGACCTATCATGGAGTTAGAATTTCCATACAAGTATATTGAATCATTAGTATTATGCATAGTTATCCAAGTTACGCAAATAGTAGATGACAGAATGTGTTATACATAAAATCTAATCACCATTCATTTTGAAAAGCTAGCGAGAATAGGAAGTGAATAACTCCAGAATGGCTAGATCAAAACATATACACCACTAAATGAAAATTCCGACAATAGTTTTGAATAATTTCACATTTTAGATGAGGGCCATAGCAGAGGAAATCCATTACACATGTTGGATGAAAGTGTAATGTAAAATTTCATTACGATACAACTAATACAATTGGAAATTATAATCATGGCTTGCTGAATGCACCCATCTATACAGGTCTCTGTAATCTAAACCCGTATTCAAACACATGCATCCATGAATTGCACCCAAAGTAGTGGTGCTACATATAAACTACTAGGACGAGACAAACACTTCTTGTCCAGTGAACATTAATTGTTTTAATGACTTAAATTTTTTTTACTGTTATGTTTTGCGTATCATCAACGAAGAAAAAACAATAATCACAACATATATAAACATGGCCTGCCGTCCCAGACATACAATATATAATGTAGCAAACAAAAAAACTAACATTCAGCATCGTTGTTGTTGTCTGTCTATCCCTCCTTATGACACAAATAGCATACAAAAGCTCTCGATAAGCCTTCCATTTTAATAAGAGGCTCATAGGGAGTGAATTAATTTGTGGTCGTTCAAACCTACCACCACCATCACACTTACTGTTACCTTAATATTCATTTTATCACCACCCCATTATCCAAAAGATAGTTGAATGGCCTCGACGGCACGCGGATAGGCATTCTATCACCCTAATAATCATGGTATGTCTCATTCTCACCACCCCATGACAGGAACATACCGTGATCCTCCCCCCATCCCATAAGAAAGCTGGTCAAATAGAGATAGAAAGAGGTTGGGAGAATGAAGTCAGACATCAAAATGTATCGGAAATAAGAAGCGTGTGAAACTTGGTGAGGGTGGATTATAACCACACCCAAACACAGATGTGAAAGCTCTCAATATAACCGAAAAGATTGTTACCATTGGAATGATGAAAAGTATGTATAAAATCGAAAGAGTTAAGGTCTCAGATCGTTGGACAGTTGAAATCTATTGAAACTCAGTGATGCTAAATGCACATTACGAAAGGTATGAAGAGAATGAAATTATAATGAAAAAATACACCGGGACGAATATGTTAAAGCTTAAAAAAACTTTGTTTCATTGCCATACCATCTAGAAAGTTTAGGCGCGTTAGGTAGAACTATTGATAACAAATTCAAAAAGGATGTCGATTTTGCCTTCCTAAACATCCAACACACAACTACGTTTTACCATGTATTACGGAAAGCTAAAATACTAAAACAAATGAAAATCTGACTGATCATGAAAAACGAATCTTAGTAAAGAAACATGAAATTAATTACTCAAAATATTGCTTTGATAAATTATCGATTTAATCCAAATGTCAACTGACTAATGGTGAATGTAAAATCCTACAGATGAGTCCGGGTGCTTACGAAACAACAACAATAACCTCGTCTGCAGACAATTTTCACATGACTTATTAGTCGGAATGCTATTAAGAAATTTACCAAGCCCAAATCGCAAGATAACTGCTGATGAGAACGTAAATAGTGAATTATTACTGGTCGTCTAACGATAGTAAAAGAAAATCCAGAAATATGTTATTACTCCAACCATTCATACTCTTGAACAATTATAGGAAATATGAATTTTGGAGCTAATCTACTGAGCAAGAAATCAAGTTACACAATGAGACAAGGTCACATGACCAGTAAGAAGTGTAAGTGTGAATAATTCACTCAAACTGAAACCACACTTACACATATTTTTTAAGGCAATTTGTCTATCTGTGAACACATTTAAATTGTTCGTATATTGATTCGGTGATTGATGAATAGGCTTTATAACTGAGTTGACTTCTTACATATGAACAAGGATTGATCATGTGTTTACGGTCGTATAGAGTAGTTAAGTCATATCGTAGAATTTTAAATATTTCTTGTTAACAATTCGCACTGTATCGAATGTGCAATATCCCAAAAGCACCCACTAACACAAAAACTGCTTGTCGTCAGGTATGTTACTATTGAACTCGTTGGGTTACGTGTGAAACTTAGAAGATTCAGATTATGCACAACAAATGCTTGCTTAAGAGTAAATAATAATAAAGGCTTTATTTAACACCATACCTATAGTACAATATGGGATTCTGAATCCAATGATTTGAAACTGATTGTTAATAAGATTCTACATACATTTTTATTGTAATAAACCGTGATTCAGTGAAATGAAGATAAATTTAATTGCAATTTTCATTATAATAAGTTTGTCAATCAGTCAGCTACAACGTTGGACTAGGCACGTATGTGCATCGGTCCAAGTTGCCACACCTCATTAGCACAACAAGATGAACACCGAATTCGTAGAAGTAATTAATTCAGTGGTGGTAAGGTATAAAAGAAGTATATATAGTACAGTAAGAAAGAATTAGTTCGTAGAAAGGAAGATATGAAGCGGTTTTAATCTCTTAGTTTAAGGGAAGACATAGAGTGCATAGACCTACGCCATTGTGGTCGATCTTGAGCCATGTCACCTTGAGTCTCTAACCATTGGTTACGATAGTCACGCGGACCCCAACCAAGTAGTCTGCATCTACCAACATGGCTCAGACTAGAAGTTAGTGACTTCAAGCACTGATGCCACGTTTCGATTTGGCCGCCCCTAGCTTTCTTCCAACCATCCCGAACACCGGTTAGCATTGCACGTCGTGGAAATCGCTGTTCAGACATACGTAACACGTGGCCCAACCTTCTCAGTCGATGAAGATTCACTACCTCATCAACTGATTAACCATCATTTCCTAATACCATGCGTCTAACCCCACTGTTACATACTCGGTGATCCCAGCAGATCCCAGCAATATTCCTAAAGCATCTGTGATCAAATATTAGTAACTTACGAGTGTCTTCTACTCTTAATGGCCACGTTCCGCTGCTGTAAATTAAAGCAGAACGAACTGCAGCGCAGTATAATCGTCCCTTAATCGATAGACAGATATCTCGCCTTCGCCATGAGTTTGACCCTAAATTATATTTAGCTATATATGTTGGGATACATAGGAACAGTTTAGTAGTTGATTATCACAGACAATATGTTTATGAGAAAAGATGGATGGCGATTAGCAGTGGAATCCAGGACGCGCTTTCCGTCGTATTTAGAACTCGTTAGCTGGATGTACCTGCATACGAGTTGTTGTCTACTCCGGGATTCAAGCTCAGTACCGTTCGCTTCGAACGCTGTCGAGCTATCCACTTAGTCCTGACAGCCACAGACTTGTGCAATGAGATGAAGTTTAAATCCATTTTTTATTGTTTGTTTGAATCTTCCTATTTATATTTAGGACTGCAATCAATCGGTCCTGGATTCCACTGCTAGCCACCATACATCTTTGTTTATAATGCTTGTGACTTAAGGCAATATCGTGGCAATCCGTACATGATGCACATAGGCCAATAAGAGACTGATCAATTGCAGTCCTAAACATCAATAGGATGATTCGAACAAACAATACAAAATGAATTTAATAATAAGTTCGTTTGACAACGTCTAGGATAACTAGCAGTAAAATGACAACAGGTGTTTTTGTTGCAAATTACAAACATTTACTTCATGCCTCGGAAAAGCACGTTCACAGCCACGATGGTGAGAGAGAGCGACAAAATGACAGGCCAATTAACACATCAAACGTGTCTGTTTGTCTAACATCCAAAATAAATACAAAGACAAAAGAAACGATAGCAGTATAGACAGGCGTAATAGGTTTGGAGGCTCAGATGGAGAAAATATTGGAGGCTCATATAGTAAATACACTGCAAACAGAGATGAATATAATGTAGAACGTGAAGTATATATCTTCACTGTAATAACCACCCCAACACTGTTAAGGTTATTATAACTAAGGTGGTGGTTACATACACTGGTCTATATGACATATAAAACATGATGTTTATTGTATATAAAATCCTTATATAGGTTATATTATTATGATTATATTACACACACCCCAAACAAATAGGATTATGGATGTTTAAGAATATTTTTGCATATATGTGCCAATGAAGCGATAATTTTTTGTCTTTCTCAAGAGGAGAGAGTTTTCATATAGAAAACAAACAGAATTAAGAGTGTGTGAGTGAGTGGTAATACAAAAAGGAAAAAAAAAGGTTACTGAAAAAGTCAATAAAAATAGTAAGGAGAATAGTGACGGTCATCAATTAGAGTCACACACCCCCTGAAAGCGTATGGTGTCTACCCATTATAGACGAGGTTGTTACAAAAATACTCAGTTGTACACATAAATTGACAGTTCTTCCGTCAATAGAAATGTATGTCAACGTAAGGAGGTGTGTTAGCTCTTCAACCCGCTAGGATATGGTTTTAACCCTCCTTGTTTTGTTGCAATTCTATCTACTTATTATTGTATGGCTTACTAGAACTCCATAACTTTTGTGACAGCTTGAACTGATATATATCACCATCACATTGACTATCAATTAGTTAATGTTTTACGATTGCATTCATAAAAAACGACATAGCTTTTAGACTGTATAACCGAATTTCTACTACGGATTTGGAACATGTTTTCTTCCAACTGCTACATATTACTGATAGCCATCAAGAACACAAACAGTAGTAGAATTACAAAGAAAAAAGAATTTTATTACTCAAACTTTAATAAATTCGCTAACGTCCATGTGAAATAATAAAAAAACGATAGGATGTCAAACGAAGCGATTCCAAAATTGGCATTTGAAGTTAATTAAACCGCAAAATAAAAATTGAAAATAAGCTCAAATAACATTAACTATCTACCTCTTTTTAATGATATCTACCAGCATAATAATTAACGTTGAATTTCAAACCGAAAAATAAAGATTTCACTGACTAGGATAAGATACAATAGCAGCATATTAATTATGAAAAAGGAACCTTTTAGTACTTTAGAAATTCTGAATAGTTTAAAGTCAAGCAATATATAGTTCAATGCAGCAGATACAACAACATAAAGAGAGGAAAACGAGATATGGTTAAATGGATAATTCTTTGGATAAAATCATATTATCACATCCTAAATGCATTGTGTAGTTCCCTTCGTTCTCATATTAAGTGAAGAAAAAGTGTATCAAATGAATAGTATACACACAACACTTGAGAGAACAAACGCCCTATTATATATAAAGTATTGTCAACAGTTGTTAGGTTTTTGTGTGCATATATTAATAACATACATATGTGAACTTCTGATTAACATACAATTTTACATGTTGTTCTAGGTAGTCACACACAACAATATCTGTATAGCATTATAGACGTACGCAACTACACAGATGAACGAACACGTACAAACAAACAAGCACACAAACATCGATGACAATCAACAAAGCATTAAACATAAACATGTTTAACAACTATATATCGTGATAATTGAAAATGGGTTATAATAAAAATCATATACATTGTATGCCTGAAAATCAGTTGTATAAATATAGAGTATACAGTACAGAGAGATAAAGAAAGTATAGCGGTTTGTGGAGATTGTTCATTCTGAAGTAAGTTTTTGCCTCGGACTAATTTTAACTAAAGAATAGTTGAAAGCGAAAGGTGCACAAACCTAGTTCGGGACATCTAAGTAGTACAAACGCATAGAGTCATATGGAACAGTGTACATTGTCAAATTCAATCAGTTAGCAACGATCATTCAATATCATTAGTAAGTAACTTCCTTACTCTCAGTATAGTTAGAGACTATTCCTAACATAAGTGAATTGCAAAATAACTTTGTAATAAACATTATGGGGGGTTATTCTGTAGTATATCAACTGCCACAACATTAGAAAACGCAAACATATGAAGGCAACGATCTAATGCCTGCGACAATAAAAGTGCTCAAAATAATAGGATGAAAGAAATGGAAACACTTAGAGGGAGTTAAAAACGAAACCAATCGAGTAATATCAGTGGAGACTTCCAGACAGAGATTATCTCCCAGACTATAATCGGGAATTTCGCACCTATATTAACGGGTAAGAGCCCGAATAATACAGGTTTAGACCAATTAAATTTACAACTTTATCCAACAGTTAACTACATTAACCTAGTACTATGAGCGTGAATTTAGTAATACTAAGTAAGTGACTTCAGTATGTGTGGAAAGTAATTCGAAGCTAAGTATGATCAAGTACTTGTGTCCCACCCACTGAAGGATATAATTCGGTGCCATCAATCTAAATGTTGACTAGCTTTAAGTCCCAATTCAACAGATTATTTGGGTTAAAAATTAAAAACAGTGATGTGTTTATTTAGGATGCTGTTCAGTTATGACAAATCATCTAAAACATCTTGTTGGATACACTAATGAAAAGACGTGAAACGTACATGGTTTCCCTGAATTTCTTGCTAAATATTATATCATGGGAACTACCAGACTAGAAACAAAGTTAAATAAGCTGATTTCTGTTTCTTTTTTAAAGCTTTCTAGTTAATTAAGACGACAACGACTGAGATCAGTTAAATGAAATGACATTAAAATTTTAAGCCCACTGATCTTTAAGTTAAATAATTACATCCAGTTATCATATTTAATGAAGTCTGAAACCAAACAACAAAGACCTAATATCCCCTCTCACCTTCAGTTAGTGGCAATCTTTCTAACACAAGAAAATAGTGTAGGATTGATGTTAATCTCCTATTCAGATTGTTCATAAAATGTTTATAACAATAAAAGTGGCTGCACTATGTGTCGAGATGTTTTATCTATTCATTCTGATTACCCGATTCGAAAATAGATCAACATTCTACCTTTTTCAGAGATAGATCACCTAGCTGATGACTTTATGACCCCATCCCTTTTGACAAACCTAAAAACTGTACACCATCGTCTGTTATCACTGGTTTATCTGTCAGCTTTTCACTCGTAGCTCAGTGCAGTTTACTATTATTGTGTAAACGTCGCGTTTCAGTGTTCAAGTTATATTTTGATTTTATTGTTCTAAACACTCATTAACTTGACAGAAGCATCGGCGAATCATCTGTCTTTTCTATAGGCTTTGTAAAGATCTCTGTCGTTTTTAAAACAGACTCGAAGTCATCCAAGATGACCATGGAATCAAAATTTATTCAATACTTGACTGGATGCTTTTTTAATTTATTCTTAAATGAACCACTGAATCTTTATCTTTGAACTGAACTGAAGGGAGTTATCCACTTTGAAGATCCGTTACGGAAAGAATGTCTACCTGTTCGTAAAATTTACTTGGTGTCCATGGTCGCCAATTCATATAACTGTACTTATGTCTAAAGATGGTATTTACCGAATTCAAATGACTACCAAAAAGTTACTTTGGTGATTACGATATACTCATTAAGATAAAACATCGAAAATACCACTTAAGCACTTAGAGTTGTTGGCGAAAATAACCTTGATGATGATGTTACACTTTGTGCACCAAATTGAGAAATAAGCTGTTTTGAGAATTAGGGATTTACCAAGTACTTCAGGCTTGGATCGTAGGAGCAGGGTATAAACAACTGGGATCCAGACTCGAATGATCATACTAAGAAAAAAGTTGGAGGTTTTCTCGAACATACAGGTTTGAAAATAGGTTGGGTGAGTAGACGATGAATAAATGAGGTGGGAGTCAAAACAAAACTAAGATGTGCTGCATAGTGGTAACGAAATGAAAAATACAAAGAATATACAAATGCACTTTGGATGTAAGACAAATAATTAGAATGTCAGGAATTTGTAACTGAAAACTCAAAAGAGAAAACAAACTGTTTAAAAGTCCTTAACTAGACTTACTTGTTTTTCATCTAAATTCTTATCACTAATAATGGCAGATAGTGCAGCTGGAGATATCATTGGGGGAAACGGTGGTTGACCAGTCACTCCATCCATTGGGAACATTAATGGTCTTGGAGCATTCGGGTTAGAGAGAGAAGTAGAGGTGGGTGAGAACGGTGTATGTGCCCCAGAAGCAGAAGGACCATGATAAGATGAGGTCGCCAAAGATGAATTGGAGGATATAGATGATGGCAATGAAGTACCCACTAGATTATTGCTAGTTCCAGGAGGAAATGAAGTTGGTATATTATTATTATGAGCAGGGATTTGAGAATAAGGATGACTATTGTTGCTAAGTAAGCCACTGGATAACTGATTCATAGTAGCATTCGTATTACCAGGAGGGAATCCTGCAGCAGCTACTGCAGCCATTGCTGCTGCAACTGCCGGGTGAGATTGGGCAAGACCAGAAAAGAAAGCCGGATTATTAGGACCTGGGATACCAGAAAGGGATGACTGAACACCAGAAATGCTAGGATTCCCAACAGGGTTAGTATTTGTAGTTGGGGGTGTAACTGAACTGGTCATTTGTGGTAGAAATGGATTGGGAGGTAAAAGCAAATTATTAGCAGTATTGTTATTTAGAGCTGGGAGTCCACTATTCAAACTATTAATTCCAGTGCATGGAGGTGCATTGAGCCCACTTAGGCTAGTTAAAGATGGAGTGGATTGAGCTCCTCCCCTGGAGCCGCTTATGGGTAGAACGGGATTATCGGACGGTAACTGCCCTAACGACGGTGGAATGAGACTGTGTGGGAACCCACTATTTAGTCCCCCAGATCCAGAATTCATCAGTAATTGTTGCTGTTGCATAGTCTATGGCAGAAAAGGAAAGGTAGTTTGAGAAATAATTTGAAGTATAAATAATATAAATATAAGTATAGAAATCAACAAAACTTACCGTGTAGGACAATTTTTAAATTTCGAAAATATTGTAAAGATGTATAGGAGCTACACTTTAAGCATTTCAAAAATAACCAATGAATTATGCAAAAACTAGACATCGCTTTATTTTTCAAGACCAAAACCCCCTCTCAAATTAGTATACAATATGAAAGCAAAAAATCAAATCACAAGAAAAAAATTGGGCACCTTAATGAAATTTGTTTGCATTTCCGTTGTATAGAGCTATGTCAGTAAAATCGTTGATTCAGTCTACACCTCTCAAAGAGAGAAAATTTTCTGTCTCAGAAGGGACAACTTGCACTACGAGGCGAAACACCGAAAATTCAACTTTCTAATAATAGGGATATTAAGAATACATTTTTATTTTGTTACTGCATAAAAAACCAGAAAGCTTCTAATAATTTAAAGAAGAAAAAATAACTGACATTTTGTATCTCAAAGCTTCTGCTTTTTATTCAAAAATATTCAAACTATGAAGAGAACACCGATTAAAATTTGTAGTTAATTGGAATGACTTTATCATGCGTGTTCTGACTGGTGCTTGAAAGTGGAGTTTATCAAAAACCTACACAGAAGTCATTTTTAGACCAAAGTTCATAAAACTATCTTTATTGAAAACACATAACTAATTACCGATCACAGACTGCTTAAATCAATAGATACAAAAAGTGACTGAAGAGATTAATTAAATGTTTCGCAAGGGTTTTAGCGTAAAATGTTCGACTGCTCTTAAATAAATGATAACTGGATTAAATATATAAACAATGAAACCTTGGTTTCACCATAACTAAATGATTTAAATGTACAAATTCTTCACAGCAACAGTTTATGGTGATGTAGGTAGGATAAATTATCGTAATGATCTGCCGTATTACTTCAAAAAAAAGCAAAAACATTAGTAAGAATTCGGAGTGCCTATAGAAAATGTGGACCTTTTTTCAACTCATTGGGATGGACTTTAACCCGAACTGTCATATATGTTTGTATCGAGGTAAAAAAAACGGTCTTGCAATCTTTGGATTTAAAAACTGTCACATTGTCTAACGGCATTTCGAAAAAATACTTTATGTATATGAACCAATTCGGTTTTGTAAAAGGCCGAATTATTTTACTTCTTATTTATTTGAACACATAGATATTGGTACAAGGAGGCACTAAATACATATACGCCACACAAATCTCATTTGATTTGTGTGAGGGCTATGATACTGCCCGGGTGCCCAGACCGAAGCAGGTGATTTTCATAGGAGGCCACACCCCGAGCCTTTAACCTGGAGGTCTGATCCACAAGGCAGTGGAGCAACGTAACGAGATGCGGTCCTATCGTAACCAGTGACCAATAATTGGTTCATGTGCCATTTGTTCCTTCAGGATACTGGAGCCCATGTGCGCCATTGGTTTGGAACCAGGGTTTTCCAACTCCCCTAGGTGGACTCTCCATGTCCACCAACTCAGTTAATAAGTCAGACATTCTCTTTTCGTCCTCTCAATTTCGTAAACAAGTTCCCCGCCACGAGAATGCAGTCAGTAGGAATTCCCTGACAGAGACTATATACGCGTGGCCACGTGAGAGTATTTCGAGAGAGAGCGGACTCTCCCTATTCTTGGCAGTACTATCAGGGCTGAAAGTATTTAAGCTAGTTACAGGAAATACCCTAAGAACCTACAATACAATACTGACGCTACTTGGGCGTCAAACAGTATGGGTGAACTCAAGATTGTCGAGATGGAAAACTGTGCTTAGCAGTGTGCCCCAAGGTACAGTTTTGGCGCCAGTGATATTTAACCTGCATGTAGACGACTTTCCTAGTCTCCTATCATCATCGGTCTTGTTGTATGCTGATAATGTCAGGATATGGAGAGCCATGAAAAGTGATAGTTTAGAACTTCAAAATAACCCGGAGAAATTGTCTCAATGGTCCAAAATTTGGCAGTTGACGATAAATGTTCCCAAGTGCATTCTGATGCATATTGGTCACCAAGGTGCAGATACATAGCAGGTGGATAGCAGTGAATTACCTGTCATCCAGACACACAATGGCTTAAGAGTTATCGTTAGCCAAAACTTAAAAACTGTTGCACACTGCCGTGAAATAGCCGTCAAGTTATAGAACCCCTTTGGCCAACACAGGGGTGACTATATCGCAGCTTTTAAATTAATTAGTAATAAATTCGCACCTGATAAACCCTTACTTTTCTTGTCTTCCAAAATAGCGAATTTAAGAGGATACTCTAAAAAGTCCACAAACCCATAACAAAATACTTGTCAACAGACTATCGACTTTCTCATCGAACCATCAATGAATGGAATTCATCATTTCAAAACGGAATTAAAGCACCATTTGTCGCCGCTCGCAAAAGATCAGCTGAGAGACCGCCATTTTCAGGACCAACATGAGCTACCTAGCCTCCTGTCCTTCCCAAACTGAAACTGGTACACTCAGTTATAATATGCACAGAACCACACAGCAGGGAAACTATTTCAAATGTTTCGCTGAGTTACTTCAAGCTTTGTATTTCCCAGCGATACTATCCACAGGAACACATCTAAATCTCCATATAAAATAACTTTTATATTAGACAAAACTCCAGGTTTATTACTTACATTTTAGAAACATATTACATGTAGCGTAAATACGTTTATTGATCACTGAGTATACAAAACAATATTCAAAAGCAATCATGGATATTAGATTTACAATTAAGAAGCCTATTTCTTGTTTTGACTTCATGAAGAGTGAGAATTATGACGTAAAATTTTACTAGCTAATATGCCTTAAAAGTTGCATGTTATCGACTTGAAACACCAAAAATTTACTGAACAAAGACCTAAAAAATTGAGTGATGCAGATAACAGAACTGTGCTGACTTATGAAAAATTACATTTAAACAGATGTGAATGGAAAGGTTGTTCTCCAATCCAATTACTCGAATGGCAACATAGCCACCAAGTCTAAATACGATGTAAAAACTATTAGTAACGACCCCATTACAATAACAGGTCGGTACGAGTGTAAGTAAAACAAAATTGTCCCACCAAGAAAAAACACTAAAACGTAAGATCTACTGGGAGTAGTGGATGATTTCAAATAAGTCCCATTAAAACTGTTATGAACTTCTAAACAATAGCTTCAGATTCCTTCAATCAATTTAATGCTAAACTCAGATTCAAGCTCATCATATTTAGTTACAAGAAAATGCAATAAGCGCTTTTCAATGGCACATGAAACTGTGTTAACCAACACATATAATCTAGTTGGTGTAATAAATTCTTAAAGTAATAGTAAAAAACCGGTTTCCCAAGCAATAAGATTAGATGAGACGGAAAGACGCCAGGGAGTATCTTGTTAGGTCCACTGCAAATACTTGCAATACAAGTCAATGTGTTACTATTCTCAACATAACTGAAGTTATTGATCGAAACACTACACTATAAACAAATGAGTTACAACCACTATCGATATACAATTAAATGAGCCTCAAGACATGGCCAAATATTAAGCATTAGTAAATACCTGGTGGGGATCATTATCTATTTAGCCACTGACAGTATAACATTAAAAAACACCAAAACATATCCCTATGAGGAGGAAAGTCAGCGGACTAAAAGTTAGTTATGTGTAATGTAACAGCGGTAATGACAAATTCATAAAAACAAGTTACCTTAAAAAAGTCCATTTGGTCAAACGGGGAGCCAAGAGTACCATTCAGGAATTTCGGGCCCTTAGACTCATCCATTTGTGGCTTAATATGGTTAAGAGATTTGCTATGAACATACCCCTATGATGCTACTAAGTTCCGATAAAGTAACCTGCTTTGCGCGGTCCACTGCTGCAGCAACCTGAGATTGATGCTAAAGTTGTAGCTGAATGGGGAACAAAACAAACCTCTTGAGATAGGAATGGGATGACTTGCACCAGGATAGCATTCAGCCGTTTCGCGATCTCCATCTAAGGAAATAACATGACAAAATCAGGCTTACTTGTTTGTGCATTTCGACATTAAGTCCATAAGTTATCTCATAATACAGCAGGTAGTGACGTTGTAACTCGGACTTTTCCTGAACTGCCTTTTCGAACTCACATTTTAAACTGAAGCTAATATAAAACAATTGGATTCTACCTGTGGTACTGAGTTTGTAGACCCAGAAGCTCATCTTTTATTTTGTCACAAGCTTCCGGGACAGAAAATTTTGTATGCTGGTTGCTTTGAGAAGAAGACTACATGCAGAGTGACAACGAATTGGAAGACGAGACTTACAGAAATTCGCGAAGGATACATTAAAAGTGAGTAACGAACTAGCTACTATCCATGAAAAACAACCAGTAATATCCAACAGCGCGCACAATTAAAATCGGTGGATAACAAACCTTATGATCTCTCGCTCTAATATGAAACATATAAACAAATGCTGTGGTTATTTGTTTCACAAAGGCAAAAAAAGGTTCTTCACAATAGAAGTTCAATAATTGCTGTTTATATAAGCATTAAATCGAAAAAGTACGTTGGATATGCCTTATTCTACATTTTTGTTCATACGAATCACTCAGAAAACCACTAAATTACGAAACCAGTATACAAAGGCAATAATAAGTCTACATTCTACTACTTTAAAACAGAATCGGAATTTGTTAGCTCTTAAAGTCGTTCAAAAAAATTTACATGGTTTTTTGAGCGAAAACCTCGTATTTTATTAGTGACTCAAAATCACGTTTCATGTATTGAGTATTCAATGTTACTAAGCTTGCTAGCTAGGTAAGAGCTCATATCCGTCGACAATCATTCGATGAACTCTGGAGACTCAATTTCAGTTCAAAATGTTTGGTGCAGAATGCTAGAATCCATATCATATCATATCACACGCTGACCTTTTTCCCGTTTATAAAATGAGTTTCTACTCTTGAAAACCACTTTTCACATCAATGATTTGAACTATTGAATCACTACATATTATGAATGACAGCAATTTATTTAAGCCGTATTCAAGTTTACAGATAAGCCTGGATGATCATCAGCACCTCGACGTGAATTACTATGTTTAAAAACAAACTGCTTATTTCGAACACCGTGTCACAAAAACATAGTTGTGTGAAAAATTCAGTTCCTAAACCTAAATAAAATTCAAAAATAAGTAACGCATATATTGGTGAAACTAAGGCGTGGAGTTTGATTACTGTCTTTATGGTAAAAGTAACAAAAATCTAGAGAGTTGGTGCCGATTTGACATTTCTGGATGTTTACATTATTGCCGTGCTTCTACAGTCATTCAAACACCAGGTCCAAATGCTGGAAATGAAATTTCCTTTGTGGACTTGTATGGACTTGAAACCCGAAAAATCATCAACGAGGAATTTGTGGAAAGGTTGTGCAGCACTTCTGAAGCCGAAAGGCATGCGCAAAAAATCCTAGAGATCGAAAGGTGTGATCAAAGCTGTTTTAACCATGTCGTCAGCAGTCATGGGAATTTCGTTATACGATTTAACCAAGTCGATTTTCGAAAAAAAACAGATTTACCTTACAAGGCAGCTGTCAAATCGTGAATATGAAACCATGGTTGACAACCAGAAATGTTATTTTTACTCAACCGCCGATAGTTATCAGTTGGACACCAGTCGCTGCTATCCTTATTAGGGACCATATGCACGGGAGATCCACATTAGCTGATTCATGGCCGAGTTATCCATAAGTCTATCATACGATCGAATTCGTTTTTAGCCATACGCAGCTTTTCGGGAGCTAGTCGACGCGCTTTCGAGAATACAGGTGGTTCTGTAGTCGTGATGTATTCTGTAACATTGTTGATTACACATAAAAATTTCTGATACGTTCGGTATATTTCGCTGTACTTATCGAGTATCCACCACTGCGAGGACCTGTGCACGTGGGTATGCCACGCCGTGATCAGGGAAGTCAGCTTCTAAGTAGCAAAATCAGGCCTAGGTGTTATCGGGTAATAATGGCATTAGCTGAAATGAGGGCGATGAAATAGCCTTGATCTTAAATAATTTAGGAGTCTGTTCGTTTATGGTGAATGTAAAGTGTAGCAATGAACGAGAAAACAGTATCAAAAATTACAAAAAATGTGTCACAATATGTAAGAATTAAAATAAAAAGATATATAAAGACTTATAGAGGAACAGACTCATGGTTTACGAATAAGTGTACCAGGCACGTCGTGCTCAATACTAAACATTCCTCGATTACCTGGAGTTTGACAACATCTTAACCAGTAACAACTTTTATGATTGGAATATGCGGTCAATTCAGAAATCACGAGCGAGAAGGCTCGAAGATATACTTTACAGAATATCGATTTATCGATGGATATTCAATCTAAGCTGGCTAGCGTTGTAGGAGATGTGAAGAACGGCGTACCCACTCGTGATTTGGTGTGGGTTCATGATTGTGCACCTTCAGCTAGGTGAGTCTGTAGGGCCAGTGAAATTCCACTGAGCCCTAGCCAAATCATCTTGCAGTTGGGTCATTGGTTATCGAGCACATCATCGATCGTCGTCAAGGTCAAGGACGACCAACGCTCATCAGCCAACCGTACGCCATGGACTGGCCCACGTGGCAGTGGTCTTAATTTCGCTTGTATCTACTTCAACTAATATATTTCTGTAATAACGTCCTCTGTGTTGTACGGTCTTCAAAGCATCTATAGTACCTTGATACGTCAATGGAGTAGACTACGTAATGTGCTGACCACAAGGTGTGACTTAGACGTTAGCTAGTCTATCACACCATTCACATCTAACTCCAGTAGGCCTCCAATCATTTCGACATAAATAATCTACGTTGGTGATCTACAACTGCATTAAAGCTAATGCGATCAGCAAAGTTATTGATTTTGGGGATTCATTTAACACAACTGTCATACTGAAAATTGCCAAATGATTGCTGTCAAGTTGACAGCTACATTTGCTCGTAACCTTCAAGACGTTTGTAAAATTTCATAGAAGCTGAACTTATTCAGTCCAGAGCCACAGTACGAAAGAGGGTTTTCTGAACCAAATCAGTTTTCGGATGCTAACTGAAAATTATAAGTGAATAAATTTCACATGTTTTCAGTACAGTCCTCAGGTAACCAAGATCCTTTGCATTCAGTAATATAATATATGTGGTTATTCCTCGAAATATATTTTCGAACACCCCTGTAGAATGATTAAGATCAATAACAACAAAATTATGATTACCCAGCATGTGGGACTGGGTACTTCCCAAATTAAATTCCAATATCCGGTTGAAATATCATGGGTTTATAGAGGTCACTTGCCTTTCAGGACATATGACAGGTATTAGATGTGACTGGTAAGTTTGAGACTAATTTGTATTGATCCTTCAAAGGTCAGAAAAATCGCTGGCCCTTTAAATGAACTTATGGTATGGTCAGTATGGGTAGGTTATGATAGCCCGTCACAAAGTAAACTGTAATATATGATATGAACTTCAGGAAGAGATTCTTTTGAAACTACAACTTATGAAGAACCTTTAAATGATGTTAAAGTTTCCTGAAAAAGTACTGCTTTAGAGTCATTCTGTAAATAAACTATCGGTTATAATAGAACGAAGACTGATGCGGTTGTACGCAAACCACAAGATAGGACTGCAGATAACGATTTTATTATCTACTAGCAAATCCAGGACCAACCGATAGAAAATTATAGAAAATGCATTGATTTATCTCTTATTCGTTTGTGGTTTTATAGACAGATTTAAGTGTAGTGAATTAGTATTGCTTGACACAAATCAATAAAAAACCGAACGCGTGTGCACATCTCACAACATCAACAGAACAAATTGATTTATTTAGACAATAAAGCCAAGTTACCGTCTCATATAGTCACAGTGAACCACTATCTTGAGACCAAAACCCACTGTCGCAAGGTCGCATTTAATCGACTGATTCTATAGAAGACTAGTGACTAGAAAGGGACTTCTGTCATCAGTACACAATCCTGACATCAATACATAAACTTTAAATAGTTTAAAAGCTACTTACAAATACGAACACTTGTACCAAGGTATTTTGTTATCCGACAGAGAACTTGATGGTGAAGAACTTAATGAGCAAATTATTAAAATGCTTTAGATATTTCAGTTGTCATTTATGCACGTGAAGTCTGTGTTTCACTGAGCATTCAATCATCCCAGACAGAAAGTATTCACAACAGAAAGGCAACAGTGAATGGAAGTAAAATATTTTACAAGCCATAATAATGGAAAAAAACATTACAAAAATTTTGCACATGTTGGACATTGTCATGTGGTCTCAGTGATCTCCCACAAATAATCAAGTATATCTACCTTCCTGATGCTATATTGGAATATATAAATCCTTCCAAATATACGTACTACGTTTTCACCGTGCTGACAGACAACCGCGACGCACACCAAAGAAACTAGCCAAAGCGCAGCATAAGTCTTCATCGAAAATAATCACATCCACTCCCTCCAGAATGCCACTTTCATCATACACGGGCTCAACCAAACACACAAATATGTGAGCAAAAACCTCAATTTACACATCAGAAAAATTACCATAATTTCCTAACACCTCAACATCTGTTAATAGTAAGGAGAAGTGGTTGAGTGCTTGGAAGAGAAGTAGCATAAACATGGCCTCAAAACGTTGTAAATGGGGGACAAAGATGTTAAACAAAAACCCCTGATTACATCTAATTTCGCAGTGTTGGGGAAGAGCTTAATGGAAAGTAGAAAATACATTGATTATAAACAGTGAGGCAAATCCTATACAACGCTGGGAAGAAGTATGGCTTCAGCCAAGCTATCCCACCTGTATAAGCGGCGGATAGTAGCAAAACGTCAACCCCCCTCACTAAAGGTAACTATAGACTCCACATGTTAGACAGGAAAGTTTACTGACACCCTGAAAACCATCGGTTAATCAATCCCCTCAAATCCAATTTAGACATATCAAACCACTGGGAGATGCTTCTAGAGAAACGGTAAGCGCTAAAAAGCCGAGCGCAATGGTGGTTCACGGAGCTAGCAAGCAAGTGGTAGTCAAGATTGAATTCACGAACACGATATGCAACGGTGGTGTTAGTTACCAGACAACACTACAGTAACTAGAATGTCCGGGTTACCTCTTCAGTCATACTTCATGAACAGCACGTCCAAGAGTCTTATAACTGCGAACTTCAGAAACCAAGATGATCTGACTGAGGCCCTTTAGTCTTGATACAGCTCGAAAATCGACCTTCAAAGCCACATCCTGTGCTGTGAGAGTCGACCTAAATCTGTGAGGGTATAGTAGAAAAGCCCAGTCAAATACACATTGGTTCAGTTGACCTTGGTCAACAACCCACCGTACAGAACACAAGGACTATAATCTTGCTAATGGAACACACA